AAGGAGAAAAAATACCTGTTTGAAAAATGTTATAATAGAAACAAAGAAACTTTTTTTTTTTTTTCAAATTTTTTGCACTTTTTTATTTATAGCGCAAAAAGTAAAGTGCCCAGTGGCGATTAAATACCACCAAAAGAAAGCTCTATTTGTGAGAAAAAAAATGATCAAAAATTTCATATGGGTACAATGTTGAATGACCGCGCAATTGTCAATCAAAGTGCAGCAGCGCTGAAAAGCTGAAAATTGTCCTGGTAAGGAAGGGGGTATAAGTGCCTGGTAGGCAAGTGGTTAACACCCCACGAACACCTCGCAAACGCCCCGCAAACGCCCCAAAATCGCCTGCCAAGCATTTGAGGAGCGTCCCCATAGACTTGAATGTGGGGCGTTGAAAGACTTCAACTCCTCCTGGCTCGACATGAGGCTTCAATTTTGACTCGATGCAACGCTAATGCCTCTTGTTTTGCTAATGTGAACAGCACTGTGTGCTGCCCATAGCATCATTTCCATGGGTGTTTGAAAACGCTCCTCAAATGCCTACAAACACCTGCTTTCAAAGCTAGTAAGGGAGCTTTACTATAACTGGAGAGAGCAAAAATCTGGTGCAACTCTGCATAGAAACCAATCAGCTTCCAGGTTCTGTTGTCAAAGGTTACGTAGAGCTACTTCCCTAGGAGCCACTGGAATAAAAGCTTTGCCCCGCAGCTAGTGATGGGCTTGATGTACGTGTTGAACGTAAGTTTAGCTCGAACATCGTCAGCTTGTGTGTTCGGCGAGCACATGAACGGTAAGAGAGTTCGGCGGACTATTCGTCCGCTGCGCCCCCACAATGCACTACACTCTGACAGTGCATTGGGATTAGCCAAAGCAATGCACCTGACTACAGGTCAGGTGCAATGCTTTAGCCACTCACAGCACAATTGGGCAGAGTTAGCAGTGAAAACACCGCCCAATTGTTTACATCTGACTCTCAAAATGTCAGATAGTGGCCCGTGCTCGGCGGGTGATGTCACCTCTAGCTCCTCCCAATTGTTTACATCTGACTCGCAAATGTCAGATAGTGGCAAGTGCTCGGCGGGGTGACGTCACCGCTTACTCCACCCAATTGTTTACATCTGACTCTCAAATGTCAGATAGCGGCCCGTGCTCGGCGGGTGATGTCACCTCTAGCTCCTCCCAATTGTTTACATCTGACTCACAAATATCAGATAGTGGCAAGTGCTCGGCGGGTGACGTCACCGCTTGCTCCACCCAATTGTTTACATCTGACTCTCAAATGTCAGATAGCGGCCCGTGCTCGACGGGTGACGTCACCTCTAGTTCCTCCCAATTGTTTACATCTGACTCGCAAATGTCAGATAGTGGCCCCGTGCTCGGCGGGCGGGTGACGTCACCTCTAGTTCCTCCCAATTGTTTACATCTGACTCGCAAATGTCAGATAGTGGCAAGTGCTCGGCGGGTGACGTCACCGCTACCTCCGCCCCAATTGTTTACATCTGACTTGCAATTGTCAGATAGCGGCAAGTGCTCGGCGGGTGACGTCACCGCTTGCTCCGCCCAATTGTTTAATCTGACTCGCAAATGTCAGATAGTGGCAAGTGCTCGGCGGGTGACGTCACCGCTTGCTCCGCCCAATTGTTTACATCTGACTCACAAATGTCAGATAGCGGCAAGTGCTCGGCGGGTGACGTCACCTCTAGCTCTGCCCAATTGTTTACATCTGACTCACAAATGTTAGATAGGGGCAAGTGCTCGGCGGGTGACATCACCACTAGCTCCGCCCAATTGTTTACATCTGAGTCGCAAATGTCAGATAGCAGTGAGTGATCGGCGGGTGCAGACGGGTCAGCGGGAGACGTTTTTTATTGGGGGGGGAGGGTTTGGCGAGTTGGCATTGTGATGACATTGCTGCATGCTGTGATTGACGATGGATTACATGAAACCATTTTTTTGGCTATAAAAGAAAAAAAGAGACTTGTCAAAAACTGTTGTGTTTATATTCACATTTTACACTATTTTGGTAAATGGGTAGGTAGTACCCCATACTCATTCAAAAGGGAGGGTGGGATCTGGGGGCCCCTACCAGATTCCAATAAATCACCCCCTGCACAGCTACAGCCCTGGGTTGTGGGGAATAGGCTCTTGTCCCCATCAACATGGGGACAGGGTGCTTTGGGGGGAATCTTCCCTACCCCAAAGCACCCACCCATGTTCAGAGCATGTGGCCTGGTATGGTTCAGGAGGGAGTGCTCGCTCTCCCCCCCCCCCCATCCTGTGCTTTAATCAAGGGTCTGGCATGCTTTTTTACCCCCATTTTTTTGGGGCTGAGTTCCCCTTAAAAGTCCTATCAGGCCTAAAGGGCCTGGTCTGGCTTTTAGCGTGAACCCCACGCAGTTTTTTTTATTAACTTTTTTTACTGTGGTGTCCCTTCTAACCTTCCTACCAGACCTAAAGGGTCTGGTATGGATTGGGGGGGAGGGGGCAAGCCTTTTTTTTTTTTCATTATTAATAAAATCGTCATTTAAAAAATAAATGCCACTCCTGCTGCAGCAGGTTGTATACATTGTATAGATGTGCAACTTTGCCGGTAGTTTAAGGGGACCCTTAGCATGGGGACCCAAGCATGATATTTTTTTTTTTTTTACTTTAAGCAATTAAAAATGACTGCCCCTTTAAAAACAGTACTTTTTGAAAATGTTTTTCCACTGATTCATGCCCCTTCAAGTCCCCGTACTCCTATGGCCAATAACTTGCAATTATAAGCCTTCAAAATGGGCACTTTAGAATTTGCAAGTTTGAGGCCCATAGACTTGCATTAAAGTGGTAGTAAACCGCATCAAAAAAAAAGAAGAAAGAAAAAATCCTGCGAGGTAAAGGCATAATGTGCTGGTATGCATTGCATTACGAAGGATTTACTGAGAAACTAAGCTCTGTCTTCCTTCCGGGTTCATGAGCTCTGACTGGCTGAGCCTCAATGACATCACTCCATGCAGGGCCGCTGATAATGGGGTACCACTGGGCCTCCGGTAGGGGGCCCAGCCCCGTCACTTTAACAGGGGGGTCCAGCCAGCTGCAGCCTTAAACTTTATAATCTAGTACACGTTTGCATGAATAATGTGAACCCCTAACATTCCCCTGCAGCTCCTATGTAGTAAATGAAGTTCCCTGGGTGGGGGGGGGGGGGGGGGAATCAGTTCATCCAGAGGGGCCCAGGGGACTGTAGGATGGAGGGACTTTTTTTCTTTTTTGGCACAGGCGGATTCACACAACAGCCAGCGCTGCATATACTGGAGAAAAGCTTATGGTTGAAGGAGAAATATGTAAATTCATTGTATTCACTTTGCTATGTGGTCTCCATTTCATGTGTACAGGTTGTAGAGGTTTTAGCTTCGATTTCCCAGGAATGACGTTTCATTTCCATGTAAACGGATATGCCTTGTATGGTATAGCTGCTTATGCTGCATTTCCTCATTTTTACGCATCGATACTCGTCTTTTTGTTAGTTAGTGATTGGCTACTTTGATGGCCCACCCTTTTTCTATGTTCTAAAGGGCAAACGCTCCAGAGTAAACTTTCAATAATTGCTTGAAGGATATTTGTGTGTCACTTGTATTATTCCCAGGATCCTGAGATAGCCGAGATAACGAGGACAGGGCGTGCTACCAATTAACCTTTTCAACAGTCTCTGCTGCTGGCGGGAGTGATATCTTCCTCACTGCCAGCTGAGAAGAGGGCAGGCTCCAGTTGAGGGAATCATCGGGATGGCAGAACTGTAGCAGGCTCAGGAACAGGCGGAGGACTAATCCTGGAGGGGGCGTAGCTTGACACAGTGCCAGTCAGAACTCGGTAGAGCATTATACTAATCACACAGCACAGACAGAGATCTATCAGGGCTCTGTCAGTGTCACACAGCACAGCAGGAGCTCTATCAGGGCTCTGTCAGTGTCACACAGCACAGACATAGATCTATCAGGGCTCTGTCAGTGTCACATAGCACAGCAGGAGCTCTATCAGGGCTCTGTCAGTGTCACATAGCACAGACATAGATCTATCAGGGCGCTGTCAGTGTCACACAGCACAGACATAGATCTATCAGGGCTCTGTCAGTGTCACACAGCACAGCAGGAGCTCTATCAGGGCTCTGTCAGTGTCACACAGCACAGACATAGATCTATCAGGGCTCTGTCAGTGTCACATAGCACAGCAGGAGCTCTATCAGGGCTCTGTCAGTGTCACACAGCACAGACATAGATCTATCAGGGCTCTGTCAGTGTCACACAGCACAGACATAGATCTTCTATCAGGGCTCTGTCAGTGTCACATAGCACAGCAGGAGCTCTATCAGGGCTCTGTCAGTGTCACACAGCACAGCAGCACAGACATAGATCTACCAGGGCTCTGTCAGTGTCACATAGCACAGCAGGAGCTCTATCAGGGCTCTGTCACAGTGTCACACAGCCTAGCAGGAGCTCTATCAAGACTCTGTCACAATGTCACACAGCCTAGCAGGAGCTCTATCAGGGCTCTGTCACAGTGTCACATGGCTGTTGGGTGCTGAGTTTGTTAACTTCTGGCTGTACTGTGTGTTACAGGTTAGATTGTGATTCAGTACAGCCATAAAGTCAGCACCCAACAGCCATGTGACACTTTGACAGAGCCCTGATAGAGCTCCTGCTAGGCTGTGTGACACTGTGACATTAGCCGTGTGTGAGGAACTATGTCAAACACTTTTGCAAAAATCCAAGTATACCACATCCACCGCCACCCCTCTGTCCACGTCCACCACGTCCACCGCTACCCCTCTGTCCAAGTATACCATGTCCACAGCCACCCCTCTGTCCAAGTATACCACGTCCACCGCCACCCCTCTGTCCAAGTATACCACGTCCACCGCCACCCCTCTGTCCAAGTATACCACATCCACCGCCACCCCTCTGTCCACGTACACCACGTCCACCGCTACCCCTCTGTCCACGTACACCACGTCCACCGCTACCCCCTCTGTCCAAGTATACCATGTCCACCGCCACCCCTCTGTCCAAGTATACCATGTCCACAGCCACCCCTCTGTCCAAGTATACCACGTCCACCGCCACCCCTCTGTCCAAGTATACCACATCCACCGCCACCCCTCTGTCCAAGTATACCACGTCCACCGCCACCCCTCTGTCCAAGTATACCACGTCCACCGCCACCCCTCTGTCCAAGTATACCACGTCCACCACCACCCCTCTGTCCAAGTATATACCCCACGTCCACAGTCACCCCTCTGTCCAAGTATACAGCGTCCACCGCTACCCCTCTGTCCAAGTATGCCACGTCCACCCACCCCTCTGTCCAAGTATACCACGTCCACAGCCACCCCTATGTCCAAGTATACCAGGTCCACCACTACCCCTCTTTCCAAGTATACCACGTCCACCACTACCCCTCTGTCCAAGTATACCACGTCCACCACTACCCCTCTGTCGAAGTATAATACATTCACAGTCACCCCTCTGTGCAAGCATACCACGTCCACAACCCCCCCCCCCCCCCCCCCCCCCCCCGTCCAAGGTCCTGATAAAAAGAAATCAGATTTGTTTGACAACTTCTGTCTTTCATGAATCCATGCTGTCTGTTGCTTAAAATATTTTTTCAGCTAAGTGGCACCAACAATTTGCCCTCATTGATGCTCAATAAGCTCTTACATGACTCCGTATTATTAGCAGTGCACGCAGCAAATGAAGAAAGTGAGGCTTCCCAACTCTTAGCTAGGTGTCTCATCACACAGCGGAAGCAAAATAATGTTATATTACTTTTGCTTCTGTAAACATAGCGTCACTTTCATACCTGCAAATCATGTAGCGTTTCCATTTTTTGTCCAACCCCTGCAGGTTTTGGCTATACTCCAAAGGCTCTCTTTATAATTATTATTATTTTCTTTCTATATCTCATTCATTCACTCAGGTAGGATATATATTTATTATAGGATTTATTTTATATATTCTTTATGAAATGGTACTGTTTCTCCAATCTTAGAATAATTAGAGGTAATTTTAATAGGACCATTGAGTATGTAGGTCTAATGTTTTTATAAAATTCTGAGTGTGTTGTGAGCAAAAAGATTGCCTGTCTTCCCCCTCTTCATATTACTTTATGTAGAGAATGGTTCACCGCTGTGCACTATTGTTGCTGGGGCCTAAGGGGTTAACCTTTCTGGAGGGAGGTCTATATAAATTTCTGTCAGTGAGCGGTGCAGCTTAGCACTTCCAAAAAGTCAGTAGACGAAACGCTGCGCCAGGGCGTATCAGCATAGCAACTGGAAGTGGCGTCACACACCATTTTGGAAGTGGCACTGCAGCTTAGACACACTTAGGAGGTGCGATGCCAATGCACCGGCACACTAACGGGGGACATGGTGGAGAGACCACTTGTGCTGCTATTGAACAACTTTGAGTTGTGATGTGCTTTTGACTTTTCTTCTGAGTAGTATACTGGTAGTTGATTATATTTTAATGTTTTTATAGTAATATACTATGGGAGTTCTTTTTGCCTAATATTTGAGGGACCTCCGGATGGAATACTATGTATACAAGAGTTTATGAAGATCCTTTCAGGGAAGTGGTGTAATTAAAGCCTGTTATCCCTTTAATTTACATGTGAGGCATTACCATTTGGTGACTGAGACTCACAGTCGAAGTGGTAGAGCACCTAAGGTGGTTATTTGGAGCATGACCAGGACTATCTTAATGAATAGGCACCAGTGGGCACTGCCCAGGGCCCCCAGGTGCATGGTAGCCCCCTGATAATCTTGCACTACATCATACTTGCTGACTGTCCCGAATTTGCTGGGACAGCCACACTTTTTACTAAGCTGTCCTAGGATAGCCCAGGCAGCATCGCCAGAACCTGTACTGTGCCCTCCTGATCCCAGTATTGTGCCCTCCTGACTCCCCCTGTACTGTGCCCGTTCTGCACCTCCCCTCCCCCATCCCCGATACTGTGCCCTTTGTGTTGAATTAGTTTTTGATTTATGGAATGTTTTCTTCTTGTTTAAAATTAATTTTATTGAAAATATTTCAAAATATATGTTTCATTCTATCAACTTTTTATACTTTAATTTTTGAGAATAGGTGCATACATTGGGGAAGGCTGGTAGGGGCCCCAATGCATTACTTTGCCCAGGAGGCCAAGATCCTATTAAGATGGCCCTCACCGTGACACTCACACCATAAATTTCTCTGCACAATTGGATCACTGCAATTTATTTGTCTTGAAATATTTTGGGACTTTTCATGAACGCTTCCATGAACTTCCAGTTTGGGATTGAAATGCTGATATTTATTATGCATATAGCACCTCCTGAGAGACATACATTGTTTACATACCTTTTATTATTTTACTTATGTTTAGTATTTTATTATTGATCCCTTTTGGATTACAATTAGCATCAGGCACACTTTTTGCATTAGCCTTGAATAATGAAATGTCCCTGCTAACTGGATTGAGTCCACCCTCACCCCTATTTCCATCTACCTATATGTTATGTGTTCACTTTGATCCTTGCTCATCGCATGATCCCTATCCCTCACATCATAGTTTCTTGCCATTTTCTCCTCCAACAGAGTGACCCAATAGGCTTTTAAATGCATGATGTTGCATGCCATGCATCTTTGAGTCTTGACATATTTGGAATCCATTTACTTGAATTTCACTCATCTTTTATATGTTACAGAAAATTTTGAGATTTTACAGTGTTTGTACGCACTAAAATTAGTTTGAGTGTTTTTTTTTTTTTACTGATAATAAAACTGTTGCTAAAAAAGTACACAAATATTGTACACATTACAACAAATGCAGGTACAATGACTGTATTCTCCATTACCTCTAATGTTTAGGGGTTTTTCACATTCTTACAAGAATTTAAAAAAAAGGTTCTGGAAGTGAAAGGATTAACATCACTAAAAGCAGAGCTATGAGAACATTTGCACTAACCATATATTTGCATAAAAGGTGTATTCCTTTCTTCCTGGGTATGACCTTGTTTGCAGGAGGAGTTCTATTCTTTCACCTTCTTTTCTCTAGAAAGCATTGTCATCACAGAATTACATAGCTTCTCCAGATCGGTAGCAGAAAGGTTTCCTTCGACCAGCAGGAAGGTAAGGAAACTAAATTTGAAGTTAAACATTTTAAAATTTGTAAAAATAGTTAATGTGGTAGTAAAGCTTCAAAAAAACAAAACAAAATGTTTTCTCCCTGGAAGGGGACATCATAATGTGCTAGTGCGCATCACATACTAGCACATTATGAAAGAAGGATAAGTTCACCTTTTGGACAAAAATAATAAATACACATTTTTTTGCAGGTTAAAATAATGTTTATTTTTGTCCAAAGGAACCTGGAAAGCATTACACCAACAATCAGTAGATCTCTGATGCCATGCAGACCTGTCAGAATATCTGCTGGATGTACGGGGTGTATGCTGTATGGGGTGCACGGCTGCGCTGTTTTCAAATTCGACTAATAGTACGGGAAAACTTCTCCCTGTACTACCTGCCAGAGGGGGAAGGGGGGGGTGGCTGCAGCTATGGGAACATGTTACATGTTCCACCCTAAAAACGGGTGGAACATGTAACATGTTCCCAAAGGTGAACTTAGTTTTTAAAACAAGGCCCTCCAGCAGCACGTTGTCACCTTCCATCTTCACCTGGTCCTTCTGGATTCCTTCTGGGTTCATGGGTCCATCCATTTGACTGGGCAAACCACGATGACGTCCCTCCCGCTCGCATGCAGGTACGGCGCAGGCCTCTGAAGGAATGGCACAGGTATGCCGTTTTTTCAGAGTGCATGTGCCAGTAACGTCAGTGGCTGCCGTCCACTGGAATATCTTCTAAAGGTGGAGGTGAACGTTTAGGAGATATTAGCTTTACTTACAGGGAAGCTTTATAATCTTACATGTAGGGAAAAGTAGCGGAAGAAAGTTTACTACCACTAAAAGAGAAATGTCTAGCCATATCCAGCAATGAGTCGGTGTGTGAATACATGAATGTCACATTTTTAGGTACATAGCAATATAGACTAAGAAAAACCATAAGCATTCCCATCAACCCAGTTCAGTATTATACAAATCAAAATGTTCATCACCCAAAAAACCTTTTCCTGCAACTTTAAAAACTGAACTTCATGTTCACTGCAGCTGGCATTTAGTATCAATTTCTATTTTACGGTTTAGTATTTTATTGTGGTTACATCATTAATCCATTGATTTTGTTATAATTTTTTTTTTGTTATGTTTTGCTTTAGAAGTATGTTATAGTCCTGTGTGTTTTAGAAGGAATGTAAATCTGTCTTCACTGATGGCCCCCAAAATTCAGCTTGTTCAGTACCCTCGTCATTCTTAACCTGCTTGGCTTAACACATTACAGTAGTAGCACAGCTCATGTATTCCATTCTCTCCCACAGCCTATGTCAATCAGTACTGCCTCCAATATGATTCAGACCAGGGGCAGACTGACAACTCATGGGGCCCCCGGGCAATTGGGAATCATGAGGCCCCTGTGTCCTTGCCCACACTCAAAACACACCCAAAAAAGCCTATAAAAAAAAAGGTACCAGGGGCATTTTATGGGGCCCCCTACTGACCTTGGGCCCTCGGGCAGTGCCCGAGTGCTGGAATGGTCAGCCCGCCCCTGATTCAGACTATCATAAACTGGACATTTGGAGTTTTGATAACACTGGTAACATTTTTGCATTAGCGTTTAGCAACGTTTTCCAGCATTTTCTGCACTTGCGTCTTTAAGTATTTTTTAGCAGTATTTTTTACCAAGAGAAAAATTTTTTTTTTGCTGTTTTGTTGCATTGTACCGTGTTTTTCAGCATTAGAGCGTTTTTACAGCTAAAAACCTCCTCTAGAAACCCACTTAGTCCTGTTTTTTTAGAGACCTTCCCGACACAACACCACTGTGTAATAACACATCTATTACTGGCTGCTTGCCCAGTAATCACACACCACTGGAAAACATCTGACTCCCTCCTCAGAGAAGAAGTTATCACATTGGTGCACACTCAGCGCACATATGAACGCATGATAGCATCCTCTGAAGGACACGTGCAAAAAGCCGAAAACAAATGGCCATTCTGGTTTAAATGGTATTCCAAACAATTTAGCACTAAGTCTTTAGCTGAATATCCGGCCCATACCCTCTCAAATAGACAACATCATAGAATTGAAGAACTACTGCTGTTTACCATATACTGATGCAAATTATTATCTGCCTTCTACTGTACGATATGTTTGAATTGTATTTGCAAGTTTAACTGTTACCTTCAAATACTTCTTTTAGTTTACTTCATTATGTATACTCTCTTAAAACTCAATACAAAATTATTGAAATATAAAAGTATGGACAAACTCAAGGCACCCTTTAAAATAATGGCTAGCCTTGAGGCACCCCATTACACCCCAAATGTAAAAAAAAATATTCTAATAGTTTTACGCAATGCATCAACATCCAGACCCGTAGGACACCCAGCGTTTTATGCTGATTTATTCTTCCAAGTCAAATACACTTTGGCACACTGGTACTGACTCGTATTCCCATGTTTCTCTTCTCCCTGTTTTTCTCCATCACTCACCTAATGTTACTCCAGTGTTTACAGAGAGAGGAAGGGTAGGGGCAAGCAAAGATGTTGTGCAGGTGACCACTGTCCTCCTTATCAACTGATGATGTCATTGGTTGTCAGGATGCCGGCGGCTAGAAGGCTGTAATGGTGCACAATGAAAAACCTGTGGCTTTGTATAACTAATCCACCTCTGACTTGTATACAACTTTTGGGCAATATGTAGACATTTTGCCAAGGCATCCCTGAAGAAACATCAAGGCACCCTGGTTGAAAAAGGCTGGATTAGAGGGTGTAGCACTAAACCCAACATTTACTAACACTTACTAAACTTTGTACTCATGTCTTCTGTACAGTTGTGGCTAAAGTGGGCAAGATCATTATAAGATGCAGGGGATGTTGAGAGGAGTCAAAAGACTCTTTGTAGTTTAGATCAGTGTTTCTCAACCTTTTTTTTTTCCAGTTAAGGCACCCTTTAAAATTCTAGAAAATCTCAAGGTTCTCCATTCTAAAATGTAAAAAAAAACTAAACTAATAATTTTACATGACGCAGCAACATCCACACATGTAGGACACCCAACATTAGAGGTAATTTATTCTTCAAAGCAAATACACTTTTGCACCCTGGTACTGACTAGTATTCCAATGTTTCTCTTCTCCTTCAGTTTTTCTCCATCACTGAGCTAATGTGGCCCCAGCACTGACAGAGAGGGGTGGGGGAGGGGCAAACGAGGATGCTGTGCAGGTGCCTGCTGTCCTTCTGATCAACCAATGAGTTGAATATTATCTCTGTGAATACAGCAAGCTGCTGCCAATTATTGCATTCTATGATTCATTTTTACTAAACCAATCACATAACATAAGAAGGAGGTTGGTAAAAAAGAAAGGACAACTGTCACCCATGTACGCTCTGCCTGTCATGCTTATCTGGAAGCTGACCCATGTGATGTCTGCTAAACATTTGATATATTCCACCTTTTACTGTGTCCCACTCATACTGTATTCACCTGTCCCCTCTTCTTTCAGTATCATGCTGGGATTTGCTACTCATTCCCTACCTCCAGTTAGTGACATATACAGTTACTAATTAAGAGACCCTGTCAGTAACTCGAACGACTGCAGGTAAACACATAAGAATCAAACATTTTAAATGTGTTTTATTTCCATAAATGGTTTTGCATTCACTTGCAATGTGCCATTGAACCTGCTAGAAAATGTGATTATACCAGGTGGAGTCGGTTCTCTAATACAGCCCCCCCTCCTTGCATGTCATAGCTTTCTCCTTGTGGTGACTAAACAAGGTCTGTGCTGGCCCAGCTCCTCCACCCCTTACTTCACTTCCCTACATAACTTTTATGTAGCTGCAAGGATAGGAGTGAAGGGGAATACTATAGAGTTTCACTTGGGGCTGCTGACATCACATCCAAGATTGCAATATTCAACAGCAGTCTCTGGGCTTTTGAATGTCTACTCAATTGGGGCATTTACAAGTAAATAACATAAATAAAATACATTTAATGCACATAGAATTTTATGGATGATAGGTCTAGTGGCGGTTTTTTACGTACTGCAATGAGCAAGGTACATGACAGTGATCGCAAACAAACAAAGGATTTCCCAGCTACACTTACCAGCCAGCCTGAAAAACCACCAATTTTGCCCTAACAGTTTGCATTAAAAACAGAGGGTTTTGTTTGCACACATTTGCATATACATGTGCAAGCCACAGTCCTGCGTCAAGGGTCCTCTGTATACTGTGGACCTAACTAAAATTTCCAGAGCCTCCATAGTAGGAGCTCATGTATCAATGGATAGGTTAAGGGCAGGCATGTAGCAGAATATATTTTGGCTTAAAGCAATTTTAAAGGTTAATTTTTTTTGTTTTTTGTAAAATAACAAACTTGTCTATACTTACGTGCTCTGTGCTGTGGTTTTGCACAGAGCAGCCCGTCTCCTCCTCTTCTCAGGTCCCCTGCAGGCTCTCCTGGATCCTCCTGTCTGTTAGGTGCCCCCACAGCAAGCAGCTTGCTATGTGGGCACCCGCTGCAACACATGTCCATTCACACACAGAGCAGTGGCTTGGTCCTATCCCCTCTCTCTCATCTCATTGGTTTACTGGCTGTGATTGACAGCAGTGGGAGCCAATGACTCCTGCTTGCTGTCTCAGCCAATGAGGAGTAAGAGACCCGGGACATTCACATCGCTGGATCTCGGTGAAGCTCAGGTAAGGATTGTGGGGGCTGGGGGCAGCTGCTGCACACAGAAGGTTTTTACCTTCATGAATAGAATACATGCAGGTAAAAAAAAACCTTCAGCCTTTATAATCACTTTAAATTTAGGAAGAAATTTGAAAGTAAAAAAAAAAATTTAACTTTTCAGTTTTTTTTAGTTTATATAATAAAGAACAAAACACCCAGAGGTGATCAAATACCACCAAAAAAAGCTCTATTTGTGTGAAAAAAAAATACATTTAATTTGGGTACAGTGTTGCATGACCATGCAATTGCCAGTTAAAGTAGTGCAGTGCTAAATAGCAAAAAATGTCCTGGTCATGAAGGGAGTAAAACCTTTCAGAGCTTAAGTGGTTAACATGTCTTTTTATTTTTAGGTAGAATATAAGAATGGAGGCTCCAATGTGTCTGATTGAAAATCTTCAAAATGGAGGTCTCCGGGTCAATGCTGAAGCGATAGAAATCTTGTCCGGGATAAAACAGAAAGTGGTTGTGGTGGCCATTGTTGGGATGTATCGTACTGGAAAGTCTTATATGATGAACAAGTTGGCTGGCTTTCAAAAAGGTGAGAGGACCGCTGCCAACAAGTTGAGCTACTAAAGTGGGTAAAATAAAAATAAAATAAACATATGTAGTACATCTCTGCAAGCACAAGAACGGCTGTTGCTCTGCCAGGCTCCTAAATTCCTGTTATACAATGGAGACACGGCCTCATTTTCTGGAATGAAATCAACAGAAACAGTGTTATTCCTGCCCAATTCTCTTTTATTTCATACTTCCCCTCCTCCCACAGCATTGGGAAATACCTTTTAGTCCAATTGGAAAGACTGATTAGATTCCCTGAGATGACATCAGAAGAGTGAACATTGTACAGGACAGCTATGAATACCAAACAGGATCAACAAGGAATTTTGCACATATTGAACAGATATAACAAAATGCATTTAATGGGACATTTAAGACACCCAAAGGTTGCGAATAAGAGGCATTTCTTGATGGGGTATTGTACAGGACAATAGGGATGGGTCCTAGATGGGAGGTATGTACCCTATTGTTTTGGTTGTGGTCCCTTTAGGGTGAATGAAAAGGAGCACTGTAGATTGCTAAGGGATTTTCACCCAAGCAGGGCGTGGGGTTCTGGGGTGATCCAGTAAAGCGGAAATGTGATTTAGTTTTCCCAGTGTAGCACCTTCCTAGGGAGCTAGGGGGAGCTCTAGTTTCAATTATTAGTGGTAGGCTGAGCAGCAGCCTGCTGCAACAGTCAGAGAGGTCAAATTTCAGTCAGGGGCTGAGAGGTTCTGCAGATCAGCTCTGAGACTTCCCCCTGCACTAGAACGTTCGAGAAAGATCTACAGGTGAAACTCAAAAAATTTGAATATTGTGCAAAAGTTCATTTATTTCAGTAATGCAGCTTAAAAGGTGAAACTAATATATGAGATAGACTCATTACATGCAAAGCAAGATAGTTCAAGCCGTGATTTGTCATCATTGTGATGATTATGGCTTACAGCTCATGAAAACCCCAAATCCACAATCTCAGAAAATGAGAATATTGTGAAAAGGTGGAATATTCTCGGCTCAAAGTGTCCCACTCTAATCAGCTCATTCAGCCATAACACCTGCAAAGGGTTCCTGAGCCTTTAAATGGTCTCTCAGTCTGGTTCAGTAGGAATCACAATCATGGGAAAGACTGCTGACCTGACACCATCATTGACACCCTCCATAAGGAGGGAAAGCCTCAAAAGGTCATTGCAAAAGAAGTTGGATGTTCCCAAAGTGCTGTATCAAAGCACATTAATAGAAAGTTATGTGGAAGGGAAAAGTGTGGAAGAAAAAGGTGCACA